GCAATGGAAATGTACATGGCAAAACAGGTTCCACTCAACAATTTTTATACATATTATTCAGTAACATTGATTACATTCTTCACATATCAACATTCTCATTATTTCTGTTCTACTTGATCTGTTCTCATTCATCTAGTCTCACAGCCCCTGTTCCCCCACCAATCTTCTATATATTCCATGCTTTTGGTATTTGCTGACTATTTGGTCCAGGGACATTCTTAAGATACATACACAGTCCTATACCCTGTTTCCAATGCCTGTTGATCTCAGTAACTTGAGCCAGGGCCTGTACTCTTTCCCCAAGAACCTGGTGCTCAAGACTTACGTCCTCTCCCCTTAACTGCCCACTAAGGCTTTAAAACATGCTGTCTTCAATCAGGAGAAACCTACACATTCCCTAATTTCATTCTGTTTATCTAATTACCAATCCTCTATTTTCCCATTGACACATCCCTAAATAAGGCACTTTGGAATTCTGCTCATCTCTCCAACCTTACTTTTAGATGGAAAGCCAGACCAACTCTCTGCTACATGGAGCTGATAACTCTGCATTTAGTTTATCCAGACCTCCAATGTATCCTTCTTCACTTCACCTGTGGCCCCATCCCTCAACCCTTGCCTCCATCAATGGTAGGGATGGGTGGCATAATAAAATGTGAAGTCCTACATCCTCTTCTTGATCTTTTTTCAGCAGCTTTGGGAAAAGGCTGGGTGGGTGGAAGAAGAGGTTTAGAATTACTGGTGGAGATGAGGTTTTGGAATTATCTATGGTTTCAATTGTTTAGTGATTTTCACTCCAGGAAATAGGGGGTAACTAAATGGTGACTGCTGTAAAGAAGAAATTATAGGGGGTGGGATTTAAAGTATGAGAGTCAGGACCCTGGACGCTTAGCAGTGGTGAGGTGGGGAGGGGAAAGCTCAGTTCTGTGATCCCCTGGAAAGAATCTGGGGTGGGGCACACAGTCCTTTTTCCCTCTAGGTTCATGCTCTCTCAGTGAAGCTGGGAGCCAGTAATTATAAGCAACTACGTAGCTCTTCTCCAAAAGGATCCTGCATGGAGACAAGAACATCAGCACCATGGTCAGCACCAGCTGATGTGGTGTTACTTAGGAGCCAGTCCCTGGCACAGCCACCAGGAAGCAGGACCATGAAGGATGCAGAGTTGGGGTGATGGTCTTTAATCCTACTTCTCATTTCCTGGCCTCCTCTCCCAGACATCAGGCTTTAAGACATGCTGAGAAACTCACCACTTCCACAACACAATCCACTTAATAAGTAGTGCCTAAGGCATTTGACTGCTAACCAGAAGCCTGGTGGTTCAAACCCAACCAGCCACTCTTCAGAAGGAAGATTGGGCAATTTACTTCCATAGCGATACCACCTTGGAAACCCAAGGAGGGGTCGTTACGAGTTGGAGCCAACTCAACAACAGTGAGATTTTCGGTTTGGTGGAGGAGAGGATAGCCAGAACCCACCAAGGGCACTGCCTGACTCAGTATCCCCAATACATGGTTGGGGCTTCCTCTGATTCCCTTTCTCCTCCCACTTTTACCCCTCTCCTTGCCTTGGGATGCCTGTCCCTTGGAGGGAAGCATGGTGCAGAGAGAACACAGAACACTGCCAGGCTAAAGGAAAAGAGCCCAACAGTAATATCTGAGGATGAGTTCTGACATCTCTACTGCTTTTCCAGTTCAGGATACCAATTACAAGGGATTCAGTGTGGAACACTTGAAGCTGTACTTTCCCATGATCCCAAACACTGCAATTCTAGCTGGTAGACTTTCCCAGAGGCTTGAGAGAAAAGCTTGGGTTGGGGGCTTCATGTCTGAAAGATCCTAGAGGGTAGGGAAGGGAACTTGTCAGGTGTAGCTTCTCTCAGCTTCTTCTCACCCCAGCTTCCCCAGCATGTGTCAAGAATTCATTAAGTAGAGTCTAACTGGTTGCTTGTTCCTCAGGTGAACTGGGAATGAGTTTTCACCTGCTACCTCCATCCAGACATTTGTAAATATAGGGGATCTATATTTATATTTGCTTTGCTGATGGGTAGGGATCAGAGTTTCCCAGCAAAGAGCAGGAGATTGTGTGGGTGGCAACAAGCCTTGCCTTTTGATGAGAAGAAGATTGGGCTAAAGAAGATTGTTCATCTCAGCTCTCTCAGAATGGTCTCCGAATGCCCATAATTTAGAGTCTTATCTTAGAACCAAAAGGTACCCCACTCTACTAGGACCTACTTGGGATAGTCATGCTGTTAGGTGACTGTCATGTCTCAGTCCAGAGTGATAGTAAGGTGGGCCAGTCTGCGCCTGTCAGCACACCACTCACTGGTCATTAAGTGGGTGGCTATTGACAAAGTGTCCAACCAGAGAGCTAGTAAGACACGAATCAACCTATTGATTCCCCATCTCCCCCTCCCCAGCCTTTGCCCACAATCAATGGTGTGACAGAGCCCAGCACTGAGGCAGCCAATTAACCACCTCAGGAATGAGCTGCTACATGTAACATCTTCTGCTCCACCAGCCACATCCAATCAGCTCATCGATCTAGTATCCAGGCTGTATTGCCCAGGAATGGGAAACTGAGGCAAAGGTCAAAGAACTTCCCCATGTGCTAATTCCTGTCCATCTGTACTGATCTTGATCTTCTCCCAAGGAGACACTTACCCTGTCTGGGGTCTGAGGTTACCCAGAATTTCCCTCTCACTTGTTATGACTCCCAGAATCTGCTTTCTTCCTTCTTTCTGCCATCTCAGCCTCTTCCCTCTCATTCAGTCCTTAACAAAGAGAGAAAACCAGAAAGTACCCATGTCTTTGTAAGTGCTTCTGAGAATCTGCTGATTCTCTATCTCAGGGGTGGAGTACCCAATAAGTAAGGTAAGCATGGGCTTACTTATGCTTACTTATTAGTCACAACAGATTATTAAGTAAGTGCAAGCAAGCCCATGCATATCTTGTTTTCTGATACTCCGTCTGTTGAACAGATAGACAGAGAGCATAAAATTTGGTATATTGGTCATACTTAAGTGTACAACTCATTGGGTGGTACAAATGCTTAAGAGTTGACCACTAGTCCAAAGGTTGATGGTTCGAACCCACCCAGGGGTACCTCGAAAGATGGGTCTGGTGATGTGTTTCCAAAAGGTCACAGCCTTGAAAACACTGTGAAGCAGTTCTTTTCTGCACACATAGAATTGCCATGAGTTGGAACTGACTTGATGGCAACTAACAACAAATAAAATAAAATTACATATATATACACTCTTGGTAGCATAGTGTCTAATGGATTGACTGCTAACCAGAAGGATGGTGGTTCAAGCCCACCAGCCACTCTTTGGAAGGAAGGTTAGGCAATCTACTTCCATAGTGATACTACCTCAGAAACCCAAAGAGGGGTCACTATGAGTCAGGTCAAACTTGACAGCAGTTAAGTATGATATACATAATATTTACAGATTTCAATTTCAGTAGTCATGCTCTCTCCAAAGTATGTTACATATGTCTTTTACCCCATAAAAAGAAAGATCTCAAGGGTCTTACCCCATAGTGGACATTAAAGGGAATTTTGATGGCCCAGGGAGCGAGCTCTGAGTTCAGGATACAGACTCTAGGAGAATTCCTCCTTGATATCTCTGTAGCATCCTGCATCCCTAGAGGAGGAAAAGTTGCCTGGTAGGGGTGAGCTGAGAAGGAGGGCGAGCATGTGGAGGGGTGTGGTTGAGCATTCATGAGCCAGATTCTCCTCCCTCCCCCACATCTCCCAGCCTCTGAATCAATACATTTTGAATCTAATCTAATAACAGAGATTTAACGAGGGGATAATGCGAGTGGAGCGGCCAGGCGCTTTGTCTCTTCTTTCATGCCGCAGCTGGGGCCCATTATCTGGGGACAATGCCCCATGCTAATCACTCCCTCTCTCCTCCAGAGGGTTTGGGGAGGGGTGGTGGGCAAGAGAGGGCAGCTCCTCCCTTGATTGGTGCGGAGTGCAAGGGAAGGAAAGGAGTGGAGGTTGAAGCTGAGAAAGGTCTAGAAGGGCCCTACAAAATTGTTTTGACCTGCCATCAACTCATTGGCCAGTCTCTCCCACCCCCGACTGTGTAGCCTGACCAGTGGAGGAGGGGGCCCTGACAGTGCACACAAACAGCAGATAATTAATAATCAGCTGCAGCACCCATGGCTGGGAGGTTTTTTTTTTTTTTTTTTTTTTCTTTTCCTCCAACTTGTTTCTCTATAATTTAAGGTTTCCCATTGAGGCTTGTGATTGGCCAGCCTTGACTGCCATGGTTGGAGAATCAAACCCTGGTTTTAAAGAAACTCTTTTCTGACTTAGAAGT